GCCAGTTCTCATCTTCCAGCTCCCCAGATGCACTACAAAGTCGCCAGTTCTCATCTTCCAGCTCCCCAGATACTCCGCGTACTAAAGTTGTACTACAAAGTCGCCAAGATGTACTACAAAGTTGCCAGTTCTCAGCTTCCAGCTCCCCAGATTGCTCCGCGTACTAAAGTTGTACTACAAAGTCGCCAGTTCTCAGCTTCCAGCTCCACAGATTGCTTCGCATACTAAAGTTGTACTACTAAGTCGCCAGTTCTCAGCTTCCGGCTCCACAGATTGCTCCGCGTTCTAAAGTTGTACTACAAAGTCGCCAGTTCTCATCTTCCAGCTCTGCAGATGCTGTGCCTGCCACGAAATCTGCACATGGAGGTTCACAAAGTGCTGTGCCTGATGCAGCACATGGAGGTTCACAAAGTGCTGCGCCTGCCACGGAATCTGCACATGGAGGTTCACAAAGTGCTGCGCCTGCCACGACATTTGCACGTCAAGAAACAAGTGAAAACTCAAATCACAATGGAGGGACGATTCCGAGAATGATCCGACCATGGCCCGAGACCATCTCGGACACATCGTTCCGCAAAGCTTGACTGGCCAGCTTCGGAGCCACCCTTTTTTTCAAAAACACAGCATGTCGTGCGTCCGCTATCTCTGGAAAATGTATTTTGTATTGCGCCTGCCACGAAATCTGCACCTCAAGCTTCACAAGTGCTGTGCTTTCTGCACATGGAGGTTCACAAGTCTGCACCTCGAGGTTCACACAGTGCTGTGCCTGCCACGAAATCTGCACACGGAGGTCCACAAAGTGCTGCGCCTGCCACGACATCTGCACGTCAAGAAACAAGTGAAAACTCTAATCACAATGGAGGGACGATTCCGAGAATGTTCCGAGAATGATCCGACCAAGACCCGCGACCGTCTCGCACACATCGTTCCGCAAAGCTTGACTGGCCAGCTTCGGAGCCACCCTTTCTTTTGAAAAACACAGCATTTCGTGCGTCCGCTATCTCTGGAAAACGTATTTTGTATTTCGCCTGCCACGAAATCTGCACCTCAAGCTTCACAAGTGCTGTGCCTGCCACGAAATCTGCACATGGAGGTTCACAAAGTGCTGTGCCTGCCACGAAATCTGCACATAGAGGTTCACAAAGTGCTGTGCCTGCAAGGAAATCTGCACATGATGCTAACTGGAGCTAGAGCTAACTGGATGATGAGTGGTGTATGATGAGTGGTGCATGATTGGTGGTGTATGATGAGTGTTGCGTGATGAGTGGTGTATGATGAGTGGTGTATTGATGAGTGGTGTATTGATGAGTGGTGTATTGATGAGTGGTGTATCGATGAGCGGTGTAGTGATGAGTGGTGCATGATGAGTGGTGTATGATGAGTGGTGTATGATGAGTGGTGTATGATGAGTCGTGTATGATGAGTGGTGTATGATGAGTGGTGCATGATTGGTGGTGTATGATGAGTGGTGTATTGATGAGTGGTCTATGATGAGTGGTGTATGATGAGTGGTGCATGATGAGTGGTGCATGATGAGTGTTGCGTGATGAGTGGTGTATGATGAGTGGTGTATTGATGAGTGGTGTATTGATGAGCGGTGTATTGATGAGTGGTGTATGATGAGTGGTGTATGATGAGTGGTGTATGATGAGTCGTGCATGATGAGTGGTGTATGATGAGTGGTGCATGATTGGTGGTGTATGATGAGTGGTGTATGATGAGTGGTGTATTGATGAGTGGTGTATGATGAGTGGTGTATGATGAGTGGTGTATGAGTGGTTCTTGAATGCCCGTAACACGGAAGTTTCGTTCACTAAATTTCCTTTGAATAGAGCTGATGACATGATGATGGATGATGAGATGATGACCTGTGAAGATTTGGATGAGAAGGAAACTGAATGGGGAAACCATGGTTGGGAAACCATTTGCTGATACTCTCTTTGATTGGGAAGAATTGGAAGACAAGAATGAGGCCAGAGGATGGCATTGATTAATAGGGGGGGTCCTCTCTCTCTCTCTCTCTCCCTCTTTATTTTTCATTTTTTCTTATTGCACCCTCACGCTAGTAGATGGCACCGTTTTTATAACAATAGCAAAAAATAGTTTCAACATAATAGATGGCTCGCCTATGCCTTGGCTCATACCCCTGCTCCAACCCAATTTTGGTTATGGGAGGGGCGTACTCTACCTATCGCTCTACATTTTTGGAGGTTCTGCTGCTCCATCTTGTTTGCAAATAGTATATATATATATATATATTTGATATTATTTGTAGTTGCCATTAGTTTGCCTGAACTTGTACAAGAGATACTTAAGAGTTATGTTTATAGAGGACGTATAGTGACCCCTGTAAGGCCTTGTGAAGTCTAACTCAGTTAAACTCCTTCGGGTTCCCACTTGGTGGATCATGAAAAGTGATGAAGGCAAGGTTGATTGGACTGAGAGCGTGCCAAGACACATCAGAATTCCGTGCGGCGCGTTGTTGCGTTGTTGCACCCCAACGGCTGGCACGGGCTAAGGTCGTCGCTGTGGTGGTGGGCTGCTTACACTATGCCGAGGTCTCAGGCCATTTGAGTCAGTTTGCCCGGACCAGCTGCCGTTCGGAAATTTTTTGCCTGTTGTTCACCCGTGCTGTAGCAGGCTTGGTGCTTTACGCCAAGCCCGACTTTTGAGTGGACAGTCATGGGCAGTCCATTTGCAAGCAGCTAGCATGAGCCCGCGTCGGACATGTTTAGCAACTCCTGAGCGAGTGCAACTTTCGCATGTTTGTTCTATATATATATATATATCTAACTTCTCGCACACGGGGGATTTATACATTCAACAAAGCGTAACAGGCTCAAGACATTTAGCCACCCCGTGAAGTCAGGTTTTTATTGGCAGTTGAGGGCTGACACCCATTGGACCAGTACAGCAAATGTGAGATCATAAGTATGCGTGTAATGTAATGCAATGTAATGTAATGTTGTGTTATGTTGTGTATGCATGTGTATACATACGAGTTAATTTGCATATAACTACTGTAGATACATACATTTACACATGTAACATGAGGCTAGCGAAAGGCTGTTGGTGGGCAGCTTTGTTCCCTTAGGAAGCCATAGTGCCAGTTGCAGGCTACAACTGCGTTTACCAGGGGCTCTCGGTGGCCGAGCAGAAGGAGGCGTTCTTGAAAACAGAGCCGTAACCTCAGACATCCTCGGAGCTCAATATACATTGGATAAAGGTGGGACTGATGTGAGAAACACATGTATAGATCACGCATATCGTCAAGCGAGGGACTGTCACCCACGGTCCCATTCAACTAAACGCCTCGCGATAAGGAATGCCTTCTACTTCTCTTACTACGACGCCTGGAGAATAAGGTGGAGTAGTGTGGAATCTGAGTGTGCTTTTTCGGTGGATGTTGCTTTTGATGAAGAACTGTACACTGAGGATGACTTCGTGGAGGCACCTACGCTTGGAGAGGCCATTTGGCGCATGTTGAGAGATGATCGCAGCGAAGCACCTGATGTGATCAATGCGGTGCACCGTTGCTTGGAGAACAGAGTAAGTAGTTGGTTGGATTTCAATAGATTTGATTGCCCTGGCCCAGGGAAGGAAGGAAGGGATGAAATGGAAAAGAGAGAGAGAGAGAGTGAGAGAGGGGTTGAAATAGAGTTGAAGGGTGACAAGAGGACAGCTCAGGCTTCAACATCTACCAGGAGGTCATTTGTGGATTTCTCTTCAGGTGTACTCCATATTGGATCCTCGGAGGCCGCAATCTCAGAGATTTGGTCAGTTTCAGGCGTATCGCTGCAGCTGTGGTCCTTGTGAGTTCGCCAACGTGCGAAGGAAGAGCGACAGGCGGACAGACAGTCAGGTTCGAGCTCCAAGGTCTTGATTCCTGGTTCTTTTTTCGAGGCTGCAGCTACGTTCCTCGACCTTTAGCACATTCATTCTATTGACAGGGCAGACTGGCAGACTGTTCTATGGACATCGACCACTCTTTATGTCCATTGGGCCAGGTCCTTCAAGGTTTGGGCCACGTGGCGTTGCTCCGCTTGGCTGCAGCAGTTGGGGGGGATGGCCTGCTTGGTGGCGTGCTGCCAGGCACTTTGGAGACTTATTGGATGCTGGGTGGGTGGCAAAAACCAGCCAATACCACCAGTCAGTGCCGGTGCCCATCAGTGCTTATCACATTTTGGCCAGGTATTGCACTGGCGCTCTTGTCCTTTCTGCATCGCCTGGATTTTAGCCGCATCCATGATGTTGGTATGCTGGAGCTGCGTGAGAGGCATGTCATATAAGGGCTTGAAGCTGCCTTGCTTTGCTGATGCATGATGGCTTTCGGTGAGCCCAGGAATTGGGCCATGCCCGTCATTTTCGCACAGGCTCGGTCCCTGAAGCAGCATCAAGGGCAATCATTCATTTGCTGTTTGCTGCCCTCAGTTTGTTTGATAGCAGCTCTGATAGCACTCTGATTGGGATCCGATGTGGCTCCGGAGAGACGACAGTACCGTTGGAGCTCGAAAGAGCTTGACATGGAGTGGCAACAGATGTTCTTCAGGTTTGGGCCATGACAAAGCTTTTCATGATCCATCCAGCTCTTTGCGGAAAAGACTCCTGGGAAACTTGCCCAAGCAATTTTCAGCAACATTCAGAAACTAGAGGTGCAAAAGGATGCAAAAGGCCAGAGGTTGTCGAACTTGCCTTTGTGCGGATTGGGATGCCCAGGAATTCATCAGCTGGCGCTGGGCATTCCGACTGCTCACTGCGTGGGGACCTGGTGGTTGGATGTGGTTGGTGAATTAAACTAACATACCTGAAATAATCAGACCACCTTGTTAGTTCTCGTTTGCTTGCCAGACATGACATACCGTCTAAGGTACTTTGCATATTGGTTTGGCAATTCTCAGCCTTCGCTTTTCTCCTCCAAGTGTCAGCGGCCTTCCTTTGTACCTTGCTTGCCTGCCACAATAGCTCCTTGGCTTATTGAGTGGACCACATGACATCACATAGCCAATCATGGCCAACCAGCAAATGTTTGTGAATTGTTGATCTCAGATGATCTCAGTTTTGGTAAAATTAAATAGCTCCACTGTCAGGTGCTCGCTCTGCCATGATGGAGCTCCTCAATTCACATTTGGTTGCAGTCGCGATGGCAGCAGCACTCCTCTTCGGGAATGAGCTCTTGGTACAGCATCTTCTAGTCACACAGTGTATTGCGATCAAGTAGCCTGGTCGCAATGATGAGTGACAGGGTGCTGGCTTGCTAATAGCTAGGCCCAGCTAGGTTGACTGCCATAACTCAGTCTCAAAACATCTCAACACTCTGTTCCCGCTCAGGGTGGTGCTCTCCGTTCGGAAGGCCCCCAGCTGGCGACTCCTGTTTTGGCTTGATGGGGCCCTGGCGGTGCCACGGTTGGACATAGCTGTGCCTGACTGCGTGTGTTGAATTCAAATCTTCAATGAACCGAACGGATGACTAGACCTTTCCAAGCCCTTTTTCCGGGGCTTTGGCAAAGACTGCAGCTCCTTCAGGTGGTTCTGTTCCTCGTTCTGCGAGTGCTACAAATGCCCTTCGCAACTGCTGACGAACACGTTTGGGAGTTGTACGCGCCAGTGCCTCAGTTGACGGCCCCACACAGCCGCCAGCATCGCAAGCTCCCTATGTCTCACCACAACCTTTGGAAAACACTGAATTGGGGAACCACCCAAGTTTTGCACAAATGAAATAGAAGACATAGAAGTGAATGAAGGGAATTAGAGAAGAGCATAGATTTAAAGGAGAAAGCTGCTGAGGGTTTGCTCTTGTTCCCTGCCTGCGCAGCCCATGCAACGGCATGCCTTCAAGTGCCCAAAACCTGCACTTTGTGCAGACAAGTGAGGAATAAAATGCGGACCCTCTTCCCATCTTACCTTGGGACCGTCCACAAGGAGCCCACCTTCAACACCAGGCCCAGCGCAAACTCAACGACCGACTTGTGAATGTCCTTGCGAAACACAGAAGAAAAGGAGTCAGACACCTTCAATGCAACCTGCAGGCTGTACAACGCAGTCAGCGTGTTCGATTTTATTAGTGGCGGACTGAGTCGCTGACACGATGTTATATCATGTCAGTTGGACCGAAGCTTTGTGCAGAGGCTGGAAGAACATTGAAGTTGGCTTCCAGACGAAGGTCTATCAGATTGCTGCCGTAGCTGTTGCTCTTCAGATAGGCACTGCAGAAGAAAGAACATCATGCAATCACCAGGGCATGTCGGAAAGAGGGAGGTTTGCTCACCGCTAGGTGCTTTCCTCCTCCAGATCCTGTCCCATGCTGGGAAAAGCAGCATCTCTCACGAGAGCAACATGGCAAAAGCCAGTTATATATGTATCTGCGGCCCCGCGGGTTAAGATGTCTAGCATGTCCCTTGTTTTTCCTGCAGTGTTGGCTTAAGCATTCGTGGATGAGTTGCTCGTCTTGCAATTTGTTCACGGGGCCGCTGTGCAGCGCGTGTCGCACTTTGAGAAGGATCAAGGAGATCCTTACGGGAGGCCTGCTCCTGAGGACCCAAGAACAGGCTGTGCTACAGGCTTTGCGCAGTGCAGCCGGAGCGCTGGTTGACTTGGCAGAATAGGCGGGTCCGATTCTACAAGCAGAACGCGTGACCTCCGGAGCAGGTGAACGGGAGCCTGAGAAGCCTCCTGTTGGAGCGGCCGTTTCGGGAGTGGAGGAGACTCCTGAGTTGAAAGAGGCTGTCACCAAGGAGGAGCACGACGAGCCGAAGGGTAGCCTCGGGGAGCTCATTGAGAAGGACGAAGAAGAAGTTGAAGCCAGTTTTGAGAAAGAACCCGCTGAAGAAAAGCCAGAAGTTGAGAAGGAAGCAAAAAAGAAGAGGAGGCGCAGAGATCCCAATTCCAAGAAGGAGGCAAGACCAGACCGCAAGAGACGCAGATCTAGGAAGGACAAGGACAAGGAGCCCGGAGGTGTTGAATCAGCACCCAAAGCAGACAGTCCAGTCGAGGCAGAAGAGCCCGAGAAAGACAGGCAGCCATCCGAGGAGAAGGAACTCGGGCCACACGGACTCAGGCCAGCTCCAAAACCAGCGGCATCGAGAGGCATCCCGATCTCAGAGATCTTTCCCAGGTTGCTTCCACCACCACCTCCCCAAGTCACCCTCCACCTTCTCAAGAGAGCGGTAGAGGAGGACACACCTCGTACTGCGGTTCGAGAAGGCGTTCAAGGAAAGCGACCCAGAGGTTCAAAGGGTGCCAAGCACCGTCAGCGAGGGGTTGAAAGGCGAGCTGCCGGCTACCGGTAGCAATGCCGCCAAAAGCAAAACCAAAGGCGAAGGCAGCGGGCCGGGCAAAAGCCAAAGCTCAACCTGGCAGACGAGTGGGGGTCCTATGACGTCCTCTACATCGACCCGCAGCCGACGCGAGGGAGAGCGAAGCTCCTGTGCCTCGGGAGCTTTGGTTGAGAGGGCAAGAAGTGAACCTATGGCAGGTGCCCACGCAGGCGTCCTACTACATGGCCAGTTGTTGTGTGGCAGGCGTGATACAGGGTTTGACCATAGAAGATGGCACGATCCACCTCCAGCTCGAAGCCACAGGGACGAACAGCGAAGCATTGCTCAAGCATCATACTGGCAACCCGACAATTCCGATCCGTTGCCACAGAAGGTTGTTCGGGGGAACGGGTGGCAGACGACCTCGTGCACGCCCTGAAAGCTCGTTTGATGAAAGGACCAAGCGAGGAAGAGCCTTGGGGCGAGAAATCTCCTGAATGCCTATCCAGGAGAAGGCGACGAGTTGCGAGATCTTCGAGATCGGGACGACCGCCGCTTGTTAGAAGGCGAGGCCAAGCCCAAGGACGAGAAGAAGCCAGAGGGGGAGAAAGCGCCAGGTTCCAAGAAGAAAGACAAGAAGAAGGAGCGGTCCAAAAAGAAAAAGCGAAAGAAGAAGCGCAGTTCATCGTCAACCAAGAGTCCACGGAAGGAGAAAAAGGTCAAGGAGGAGCGTGGCAAGAAGCGGGACGCCAGTATGAGCTGCTCGGAGTCGAGCATTGGGGACGATGTCAAGAGGCCCAGGGCTGCAGCTCAAAAGTCGTTGAAGTCGCTCTTCAGGGGAACAGGCCTGGACCCACGAGAGCGTGTGAGGAAGCGCGTGATCAAGAGGGCCAGGAAGGCCGCAAAGAAGTCAAAGTCGGGGAGGTCGTCAAGCTCAAGCAGGAGCAGCACCGAAGCGACTGCGACAGACGAGGATCAAGAAGGAGACATGGATCTGTTCGAGGTGGACAGCAGAGTGAAGAAGATGGCGGACGCCTGCTCAGGGGCTCTGTGTTGCAACTCGTTGGGCATGATGAAGCAGAACCTGCTGCAGTCGATTGGGGAGCAGTCCAAACCGAGCGGAGTTCCGGCCGTGTGCGTGACCGACTACCAGCAGCGGTTACACCGCAGGGCTACACCTCGCTGGACTGGCTGGTTCGGGGCTGTCCGGCCCGGACGGCAGACATCTTGAGTCAAAGACTCAAGAGCATCGAGACAGTCCCACTGATCAGTGGCACAGAGAATGGAACAGGAGGGGCTGTTCATTGCAGCCCCTCAGGAGGTGTCAGCCGCTCAGAAGGATGCCTATTCCGAATCAAAAGTTCGCCACCTCGCGGCACAGCCCGATGGTCGCAAGGGGAAAGGCAAGTCTCGACTCAAGAGAAAGGGAAAAACCACTACGAGCAGAAGAAGGAGAAGGGCAAAAGCAAGGGGTCTGCCAACAAGGGGGAGAAGAACAAGACCGGCGACAATGCCAAATGAGCTCTTGGTGTCAAGAGCCCTTGGAGTTGAGGTTGGATGGTACAGCCACAGTTGTCCCTCCTGAGAAAACGGCTGGAGGCTGTTTGCGGGAGGGTGGAGCGGTGAGCAATTCAGTGCAAGTGATGGAATCTCTCGTGAGGAGGGATATGTGGACGGGCCGCTTTCAGGCCTCGAGACGGAGAGTGGAGGTCTCTCCGGAGTTTCTCCTGTTGTACCGGCCGGTGAAGCATCCAAGGCCGATGAGGTGCCGACGTCGAGCACCGCTGAGGGGTGTGAGTTCCCACCAGCTCCACCGCGCTTTGAAGCCGTTGAGGGGCGAGTGGATGACCCATCGGCACGTCAGCCTGGGTCTGAAAGAAGCTTTTTCATTAGACATTGTCGGGAAGAGTGTTCGGGAACTGGGCTCATTTTACCCGAAAGCATTGCGAAGGGTTCTTCCGGAAAAATCCCTTGAACACTGACACTTCGACACTTACACTTACACACTGACATTTCCACACTTGCACTACAACATCAACGCTATACGTACCCCAGTGTAAGTGGAAGAGCGAAAGCATCCAAGTGCAAAGTATGCAAGTGTAACGATGCAAGTGCAACGATGAGTATGCAAGCATGCAATGAGTATGCAAGCATGCAATCAGTATGCAAGTGTGAGCATGGAAAACTAGCACGGGAGATGTCCTAATGAAAAACATTTTCCCACTTTATAAATTCTCTCTTAAAGGCGGAGGGTGGGACGAACAGCGTCAACCGAAAATGCAACCCTCTGCGGAGATCGTGCGTGTCGAGTGCGCGAAATGCAGGCGAGAGTGCGATTTGCCGGCTGCCCGTGCAACCCTCCTTAGATGGGCTGTGGTCTTGCTAATAAGTTAACATAAGTTAAGAATTTTTCAGAAAAATACAACTAGTTAGCATATAGTTAGCTAATGGTTTTTCACCTACAAATTTTCAGTGAAATTTTGTTGTGAAAGCTGAATGTGGGAGCCAGCCTCACCCAACTAGGGCTACCAAAAAAAGCTCTTCCAAGGCATGAGCCAAAGATGGCTAGTGAGCACGAGCCCAAAATGGCTAATGATTTCCCACAATGAAATCCACAAAGCTCTGACCTTTCTTTTTTGCATTTGCTGGCAGCTGTATTTAGAATCCAGGCTCAGCCTGTGTGACCCAGGGTGACAGCACCCTGAAGCCTTTGGAAACTTTGCCCCAAAGACAAGACATCTTGATGTCTTCCAAGTGGATGAAGCACATCTGCCCACCATCACTGTAGATGATGGCATTTGTGCCAAGATCTCTTTCCACCACCACCATCAAGTTTACCAAGGCCAGCTGCATCCCCCCCAACTAGAAAGAATGCATGGATGAAAGCAGCTCTGTTGTCTGCAAGGAGGACAAGATCCACTTTGCATAAAGGCCACAAGGAACTTTAGCCTTTGAGCTGCGAAGAACTTTCTGCGCTAAAGGCTGAAGCAACCTTGTCCAAAAGCCTCTTGCTCGGAGGATGAGCTTCTATCAAGAATGGCCCTTCCTCAAAGCTATCAACTCCCAGCAAATCATGAACCTCCTGGGCCACCATCTCTTCCACCATGCTCTTCTCAAAAGCAAAAGTATTCTGAACTGTTGCGCCAAACCTCTTGCAGATCTTATGCTTCCGCTCCATGCAGAAGCAAGAGCACAGCTTGCCAAAGCGCTCGTTCAGAAGGGTAGTGCAGCTGCCAATGGGTATCATGGCAGATGCCCAGCCAGCTCAAAGGACCTTTCTATGGCTGCAAGAAGCCTTGCGGGCGTGTTCAAGCCAAGCAGTTGCCCTTCTGTTAAGAGGGCCACAACATAAGCCTGCCCCAAAAGGGCTTTGGAAGCTACGGATTCAATGCCCCTTTGCCACATTTGGAGGACCCAATGCACCAGCACAGGGAGCAAGCTCAGAAGCTCTGAAGCCTCACATGTGAATTTGCAAGCTTTCTTGTACTTCTTGACAGATTTTTCATTGAACAAATCTGAAATGTGCTTGCAACTCAAGGAGGCAGGAAAATTCCAGCAGTCCAAGCACTTGTGCAACAATGCTCAAGCATCTCCAGGAAGCGCACTGAACAGGAGGAAAACAGAAACACTTAAGGTTCCATTTGACAGGCACCCATGCATGTAATCATGGCAGTATTGGGTTGCTGGGCGCGACACATTGGCTGCTCTGAGGTCTGTATTCAAGAGAAGCATTTGGGCGCTGTACGTGACACCCACAGCCTTTACTAGACCAAAGTCGACAGCGCTAAGCGCTGTCTTTTTCTGCTCCAACCTGTCATAGGCGCCAAGAATCTCTTCATCTGAGTAGACCCTGAGTTGGTTGTACCTGAAGGTATGAGAAAGCTCTGCTGATTCAGGATCCCTCATCAGATACCTTGCTGGCAGTGACATTGCACAAAAGACAACACTTGATCCCTGAATCGCCCTTGCTGGAGAAGCAGTACTTGTGGCTGGTGCCATCTTGAAT